CTATTGTCTGTAGATATGACGTCACTTCTACATATATAAAACCTACTGTCTGTAGGTATGACGTCACTTCTACATGTATAAAATCTATTGTCTGTAGATATGACGTCACTTCTACATATATAAAACCTACTGTCTGTAGGTATGACGTAAGAGAATGTATGATAATAACATTTATACTGAGGAGCAAGTAGAAGACGCGGTAGTATGTTACAATCCCGGTCGTGAGGTGTGGGTTCGAGATCTCGTCTGATTAAGGATGTGGCGTTCTTAGGCAAAACAATTGACATTCACGATGCCTCTCTCCACCCAGGGAAGCCTGATTTAATGCTGGCCATTGGGGTAGCTTTGCGATGGACTAGCATCCCATCCAAGGACCCTTTGTTAACCCCAAGGGGAAGTAATAATACTTCGCTTAATGCTTAGGAAATCGAGACAAGCTCCGGCTGAGATGAACCACTCGGCTCGAGAAAAGAATTTTTACAATGGAAAGCTAGATGCATTAAGGCATATCGTTACGTTAGATAGCCTGTCACTTTTGAGCGACTTTCAAGCGATCGCAGGTGCCCGTGTGAGATGAACGGAAATCACAAGTCACGCTCGCACGGTCTTTTCGCACGTGATTCCTCCTTCGCGCTCACATCACGTTTATCTCCATTGGCCTGAAAAACGTGACATAAAATGACACATGTTCCCGTGCTGTAGAAAATAACTTTGTTGGGCCCTTGTGATTTTGTGAAAGGGTTTTTAGTTTGGGTGAGCCGCAGGCATCACCAGTGTCTAAAAATCATGAAAAGCGCATACGCTGATGTAATTTTCTTTTAAAACTTGGATTTATCCTTCTGGTTGTAATTTGCTTTTCATTATGGATTTGATGCTAGGATGACAGTGGTTAAAAAGGAAAATTTATTGTCGGTAATATATATTTTTTTCTGCCCATAAAGCCAGATGCTCTTGACGCATTCGACGGTGGTGTTCGTCAAGTGACAGGCCCCAACGCTACCGCAGGGGTCTTTGCAACGTATCCAAAACCTTTCCTGACTACTGCAAATGGATTCGCTGATCAGGTAAGAACTACCTGTCGTCTGAAATATCAGCTATTTATTTCACGATCAGACTTCATTTCCCTTCTGCCTACTTTACAAATCAATTCCTTGTTGCCGTATGTCTGTTCAGTATTATATACGCATTTTGATTGATTCTTACTTATAAACTCTTTTTAAATAGAATATGATGAAAGATGGTAAGTTTTGAGCTCGGGAAAGAAATAGAGAGTCTCTGTAGCTCAGTGGTAGGGCGTTGGAGAGCGGAATCCGAATTAAGGTCCGAGGTTTGATTCCTCCTGGACACTCACAATTTTTTCGTTGTGCCACGCTCGTGGCAAGACGAAAAACATTTTTCACTATTTGCTCTACTATCATATAAAACAAATGGATTCTATATTGCCGTGAATCTCTACAGTAATAGATTGCAGAGGACGTCAGAAAGTAGAAGGAACATTTGCAGGTGATCTGTGAATAAGTTGGCTCCGTGTCGTGGGCAACTTTTTTTCTTCTTAACATATTTTGACGCCATGTGCGATCTTTTACTGAACAGTCGCACGGCAACATGAGATTGGGATACACAGGTGAACCTCTCCACAACGGCCACCTTAGGACAGAAGGAGGTGGCCGTTATGGGGAGGTGGCCGTTAGGGGGAGGCAGGGGAGAATGTATGGACAGCCCGCTGGGACCGAAAGAAGGAGCCGTTGTGGAGGGGTGGCGGCTGTTGTAGAGAGTTAGCCGTTAGTAGAAGTTCGTCTGTGTTTGTTAAAAGGATGCAAGGCAACGTGAAATCTATTATTGGAGTTTCCTTCCTCCTTGAATCAGATAAATTTCTCTGTCTATTAGTTTTTTGGCACTGCTCTCCTTGTCAGCTGTATATTCGCTATCCTTGACCGTAACAACAATGCCCCCGACCAGGGGGTGGCACCGGTTATGATTGGTCTTGTCGTGTTTTTGATTGGCACCACCTTTGGATTTAACTGCGGTTACCCCATCAACCCTGCGAGGGATCTGGGACCAAGAATTTTCACCGCAATGGCCGGATGGGGATCTGAAGTGTTTACGTAAGTAGTTTATGAAATTAAGTATCAATGGAGTTTTGAAACGGCTTTTGATATGTTGGCGGTTGTAAAGTTAATTAGTGCGCAAACAAAGAACCAAAAAATATGTCAAGGCTGTATTTTTTTAAACCGTGTGTTCAGAACGGGTTTTAGCCTTGTCAAAGGAAATTATATTCCTCTTCTTGAAGCAAGACCAAAGACCATACGACATCAAGAACTGTCTTTATCTATTTTAACAATATGCAAAGGTTTTCAATCTCAGCGATAAAGCTTGCAATTTTGCAATTTAATGCTGTATGCGATATGGAGGATCAGAATTTGGTAGGATTGATAGAAACCCAGTTAATTGCTACCAAATTCACAACTAACCCAAACGTATGTCATTTCGTTTGATTAGGGCATATAATTATTGGGCGTGGGTCCCAATCATAGCCTGTTCACTAGGGGGAGTACTGGGCGCCATTGTCTACATCACTACCATCGAGTTTCATCACTCAGCATCGGGAGAGACAGAATATCCTTATGAACCCATTGTTACAGCGGCCGTCACAACAATAAAGAAATGAGCAACTGTAAATCTAAACCACAATGACTAAGCCAGATGATTTATCTTAACGACTAACTTTATGCAGGGCTCGACACTAACGGTCGGCTAACTAGCCACAGACCAGTGGTTGGCTGGTGGTTTTCGATTTCCACAGGCCAGTTTGGCAAGTTAACAAACTGAAATTGTTGTAACATCCAAGTTGTCATTAGCCACTTGACTGGTAAGTTGAAAAGTTAGTGTCGAGCCCTGATATAGCATATCTATACTCTTCGTACTTGTTCATATCTTTTAATGATCCAGTTCTCTGTTAGTTCTCTAGTTATATATTATATATTGTACCACGAGACGTATACCTGCGTTGTGTTGTAAGGGCGATCTGTCCAATGAAATACACGTGCTTAGCGCAAACTGTGGAAGCTATTGTATGGTGAAACCATGCGATGTCAAATAAACTGCAATGATTTTCCTTGTGAGAATGAACTATTAGTTTTGCAAGTAAAATCTTTTATAACATACCATTTGAATTAGACAGTTATAATCTGCGTCACAACACAGTGCATCACGCTTTAAATGTTGTACTGTGTTTATTTCGGTACGTCGCGTAAATTGCTCAAGCTTCTCTTTCTCGTCTCGTCCAGGCCTCTCTCCTTTCTTGTAACTCTATGTACATAGCGTCGTGGGCCTGTTAGACTTGTCACCTATAATCATCAAGTGCCGCGAACTCTGTTTCTCGTTCAAGGATACATGGTGTTGAAGCGGTCTCAAAATACATCTGCTACAGAGATTTTTTTCTATGAGCAGTAACAATACTTTCGTAGCAGTGGAAATTTGTCAGCGATGCAATCCGGCTGATTTCCATAAGCGTCGATTCGACTAATATCACCTCTTAGCGAAGGAACGCCTTCCTTCACTTTGATCGTAGCTTCGTAAAATCCATCATTCGGAGACGTTGTTAACTGCAACTGATACAAAGTGTTGTCGGCCAAAGTGTTGACAGATTTTTCACCGAATATGACCCCACAAGAGTCACAGTCATCATCTCGGCGACTTTTCTCAAAGAATTGTAATTTTGCACTTGGCATGTCACCGTATGCACTTTTGATCTCTCTTAAAACTAACTTATGACAAAGATGTTTTAATTCGGAGTATTTTGACATTAACTTGTTCATGAACGTAACCACAAATTCTGCTAACATCTTTACCAAAGGTTTGTCTATTGAGACTTCTTCTAAGTTCAGGCATGGACACCAATGTTCCTCAACACCGCTGTTTTCACACGTGCGGTTCTCTTTGTCGATCCTGTTAAACAGGCTTTGACCAGTTGTTATCCCGCTCGGATAACTTGGATATGACAGGATGTGACGCAGGGTGGCGTACACGTCAAAGGGTGTGGTCATTACTTTGGAATTATGGATCAAATTCTTGTATAACACTCGGTACTTCTCCATAAACCACTTTGGTACTGTAATAGACATGAAGGGGAGTCTCTCCTCAAGCTTCCCTTGGATTGATTTCCTCACATTAGAAAACCTAGCCCCATGGTCTCCGAATATAATTAAGAGGGTATTATTGAGAAAAGACTCATTTTCCATGGTTTGCAAAATTGTTTTTAAGTCATCATCGCTGTAACCAATAGTGTTCTGATCATCGTGTGAGATCACCGCGTGTGTCACCAGTGAAAATTTTGGCCTGTCTTTGTAGGCACGATAGAAGCTCATCAAATACTCCAGTGATATATTATGGGAGGCGCGGCCACCAATGCAGTGACCTTTAATAACATTTTCTGCCTCTAACCAAAAAGGTCTGGAATAATGGTCCGTAGGTGGATCTTTAAACCCAAGAAGACGGTAATTAAATGATGCAAGTCTTGGAAAGTCCTCGGAAAATAGAGTGGCGTATCCATGCTGTTTGAAATTTTTAAAAATCCACCTCCAGTTATCAACTGTGATGGAGTTACTTTCACTTCGTCTGGCTTCAGGCTGGTCCTTTTCAGCAATTCCAGTAAGCAATGCACAAAGCTGAGCTGTTGTGCCATCACCAACAATTGTCTCACCTGAAGATAATTTAGAGAGTAAGAAAGAAAAGTGGGGCGGAGGTACATTGACGGTTAAAAATAAGCCTTTTTCACGGTAGTCTAGTCTGCTACACAGCCGTTCTTAGGGTCGTCACGCAACGCGCCTCCCCACGAGGAGCGTTTCGTGAC